AACAAAAAGTTGTGTGTCTGATTGGTCCAAATGCTACAAACATGAACTAACAATGAACATCTGTATTTTTTTTTAACTAACGTTAGCGTAGATTAGTAAATACAGTAACAAATGTATTGCTCATGGTTAGTTCATGTTAGTTAATACATTAACTAATGTTTAACTAATGAACCTTATTGTAAAGTGTTACCGAAATTCCTTTAAGTAAAAGGTATTATTAAAACAGCAGCTGGAAGTATGTGGCAAGACGTATGGAATGAAGAGTCAAAAGGGAGACAATTATTTAGCATTCAACAGAAAGTGGGGATTGAAAGAAAGGTATATGGAAACAGAAGAGAAGATACTGTTATAACCAGGATCCGTATAGGACACTCTAACCTTAATTATTCATTGCATATAATAGGAGAAAGTGAGTCAGATTGCTGCAGTTACTGTGGAATAACAGAAACAGTTGAACATGTGCTTTTACATTGTGAGGCATATAATAGACAAAGAAAGCAACTTGTTGAAAAACGAAGAGATATGGAAATCAATGACATTTCAGTTATGAACAGTGTTGGGGGTAACGCATTACAAGTAACGCGAGTTATGTAATCAGATTACTTTTTTCAAGTAACTAGTAAAGTAACGCATTACTTTTTCATTTACAAGAGGATATCGGAGTTACTTTTTTTCCCAATTTATTGATTGACAGCTCTGGTGTTGCCATGGTGACAGACATCAGATGATACTGTAGTTCTAAAAATAGATATGCATCTCACTCACACACAAAAAAAATACAGATTCAGTATTCCTCAAAATGAATAAAAATAATGCAACTCAGAATATGACGCAAACCTGCAATAATTAAATGTTAAATAACACAAATATCCTTTATGTATTTAATCCCATTCTATTAACCAATGTCTTTGCTTCTGACCTTCGATGATCCAGTTCAACCGTACTAATAAGCACAAATTACTCTAGACAAACAATTGTGTGTTTTTTGAGTGTTGAAATAGCTTCTTCTGCATTCTACTATACGGACGTAAATGTACTTTCCCTTCAGCCTGAGGCTTATTCATTTCACTTTTGGTGTGAAAAGGCTTTTATATTTGCCAAAAATAGAACTTTTTTTATTTTTAAAACAAACAAGCAAGCCCTGTCCAGATTTAAAAAGTAACGCAAAAGTAACGTAACGCATTACTTTCCATAAAAAGTAACTAAGTAACGTAATTAGTTACTTTTTTATGGAGTAACGCAGTATTGTAATGCATTACTTTTAAAAGTAACTTTCCCCAACACTGGTTATGAATATATTTCAGAATGCACAGAAACATCTAAGGGGTTATGATTTTCTTCTAAAATATCTGAGAGATACAGATTTGATTAGAAGAATTTTTTTTTTTTTAAAGTAGTATATAATAGGCCTCACACTCCATCCCAGTAGGTGGCGGAAATGCGCCTTAAGCTGGTTTGCCAACCGCCATTAAACCCAAAAGAAGAAGAAGACGACCATTGTGCTACGCGGAATTGGGCTTCGCTGTTTCCTCTTGTTGAAGCGGCCAAAATAACCTCCTCTTGTTTACCAGCGGCCCTGGTAAAAAAATGTTTTACCAGGGAACCCCCCTCGAAACGCGATTGGGCTAGTTTTGGTCTAATTCGCGCTGTCGCGTACTGTGGTTGAAACAACGAGTATTAATAATATTAATAACATCCATCGAAATCAGATTTTGCTGGAATCTTAAACATTATGAAGAGCACTTACAAAATAGTTCTGATTTTGCTAATAATGTGTGGTAAGTTCGCGATTTTTATTTTTTTATACTTTCGGTTTCATTCCGGAAACCGCATTTGGAGCAATGCAACCTTACATCAGGGGTCACCAGACTCGATCCTGGAGGGCCGGTGTTCTGCAAAGTTTAGCTCCAACCCTAATTAAACACACCTGAAGCAGCTAATCA